TAAAATTTGGAAATTTTCCATAATTTGCCACAACAAGATGCGAAAATTTGATCAAAAAAGGATGGATAAATTCAATTTACCAATGAACAAAGGCTCGCTTTGCATACATTAAATCAAATTTATAGTCAAGCCTAGCCCAAGCCTCAGCAATTGATGTTGTATTGGCTAGCATACAAACAGCTCGTTGAAGTTTTGCTAAATCACCACCAGGTACAACTGTCGGCGGTTGGTAATTGATGCCTACCTTGAAACCAGTTGGACACCTAAATCTTCTGCAAAATTTAAAAAGCCGATAATTCCAATTTAATTTATTGATGAATTAGTGAGCCGAGCAAAAGTCGTAGCCTTAATTAATCACTCATATGCACTAAGTTTTAACCCTAATCAATCACTCATATGTAATAAGCTTTAGTCCTAATCAGTCACTCATATATAATAAGTTCACCACTTATAAACAATGAATCTCAGAAAGGTTAATTGAAACAAAAAATTATTGGAACAACAAAGAATAAAAATTATTGAAACAACAAAGAAACATACCAGTCGACAAACTGAATTGAACGTTTTGTTTTTATTCCTGCTATAGCCATGTTAACGTCCTTTAAATAAGACATTTTTTATTAGCCTTCATAATTGTCTACTTCGCTATCCATTTGCTGGTCCATAAAGTTAGGCGTTTTAAAATTCCACGTTTGAAACTATTTTCAAATTTTTTCAATATTGAAAAAACATAAGCATCAAAAATGTTAAGCCAAAAATGAAAGCAATGATCAGCTTACTTTAGGGACCACATCGCCTCTAAAAAGTAAACAACATGCCATAAATTTTCCTTCTCTCGGGTCACATTTAACCATTTGATTACCAGGCTCAAAACATTGATTTGTTATTTCAGGCACCGTTAGCTGTTCATGAAAAGCACGCTCACTAAAATTAAAATTGCAAATTTCAAAGATTTCCAATGTATTCGTAACACAACATCAGTATTAATAGCATATCACCTTATCAATTTGATAAAGTAACTCTCCCACAGCATTTCATTGTCTCACCAAATATCACTACTGTTTAATCATTCTATTCAGTTTATTGAACTATTTTCATTTATGCAAATTTATTCTGCTTATGACACCCATTTAATAAAGGATGTGTTACCATCCATTTCTGACAAATTAATGCAAAATTAAATTTTCAGTATTACCTGGAAATAATCGGAGCATATGTAGCAAGCGGAAAATGTATCCGTGGGTACGGTACTAAATTTGTTTGGAATTCGGTTAAATCAACATTTAATGCACCATCAAACCGCAGTGATGCTGTTATCGATGAGACAATTTGGGCAATCAAACGATTAAGATTCGTATAAGTAGGTCGAAATTGAAAATGAAAGTTTTGAAGGACAAATTTAAGAAGCACAAAGAAATGTTAAAATAAGGTGCAAAACGAAATCAGATATTTTTCCAACTCTTTTAAGTTCAAAAATTGGTAACGAAATTAACTTTAATAGATAATGCGAATACTTTGTTATCAAAATATAATAAAAAAGTAATAAGCAAGTTTACATGGCATTTCTATCTTCCCCCTTTTTATTTCATCTTCATTTCAACTTTCGTAGATTAAGTAAACTTTAAAATTACATTTAAATAATAAAATTATGAATTAACCTTATTATGGAAAGATTTTTTCGACAAATTTCATAGATTGCTTCATTATCAACCATAAAGGAGCAATCGGAATGTTCCAAGGTTGTATGTGTAGTTAAGACTGAATTATATGGTTCAACAACTGCTGTGCTAATCCTCGGAGCTTCAATATAATATGTAATATTATTAAATTAGGAAATTTTGCTGAATTGGAAATTTCAGAATCTAAAAGCCAAAAAAATTCCTCGTTGATGAATAACAAAGAAATTATTTTTAAGTAGTTTTTTAAATATAAACCTGGATAAATGCTAAATTCAAGCTTTGATTTTTTGCCATAATCAACGGACAAACGTTCCATAAGCAATGCTGAGAAACCACTTCCAGTACCGCCACCAAATGAATGGAAAATTAAAAATCCTTGTAAACCACTGCACATATCACTCATACCTAAATCAATTTGCACTAATTGTTAGCATATCTAAAATATGTTCCGCTCTTTATCATATTTTAAAGACTTGAAAAATAAACATACTTAAAGACTCAAGAAATACAATATATTTCAAATCTAAGTGATATTTCAATTCTATTCTTACTTCAAGAAATGACATAAAGTAATTCTTGGATAGTTTTTCAAAAATGTAGAAAGCCAGAAAAAAGACAAACATCCCAATTTTAGTCACTTAAAGTATGAGATAGTAACTTTCTTCTAACAATTTTAAAAATATGAAAATGTGAAATAAAGAAATTCAGTGAAAAAAAATCTATCTTCATAAATTCACTCATTTTCATTTAATTAAATGAATAATTTTTAAATCGAATATTTACGTCTAATGCGATCAATGCAAACATCAATAACTTCTTTTCCAATAGTGTAATGGCCACGGGCATAATTATTAGCAGCATCTTCTTTCCCGCTTATAAGTTGTTCGGGATGAAATAATGATCGATAAGCTCCAGTTCGAACTTCATCTGGCAATTAAATTTTTTCTCAAAAAAACTAAGTTCATTTTTTTCATTTTTCAAGTCCCAATTTCAAGAATATTGTCAAAAAACATCACTATGAACAATATTTTTAATAATATTTAAAAATGAAAATAAAAATTTAAAAATTGTATTTTAAAAAAGTTAAATGTCTATTGGTATTCTTATCACATAAAAACCAAAATATTATATCATATCATAGTGAAAAAATTTACCTACAACAGTTGGTTCTAAATCAATAAAAATTGCCCGTGGAACATGCTTACCTGCAAAAAACTTCATGATATTTTTTGTTTTTATTCAACATTATATGATTATATAAATATTCTTCGAACATTCATTGACAATTTGAAGTCGTTTTGCAGCTATTATTAAAGGAACAATTATAAAAACAGCAACTTCGAATGTTATAGGGATTGATCTCGTTCAATTAACAAATCACGATTGATCACGTTCAGACAGTAAAGCATGATTGACATCTCCAAAGAACACATTAGGATTGGTTACGTTCAGATAACAAATCAGGACAGGACAGGTTACGTTCAAGTAACAAATTAGAACTGCTTACATTCAGACAACAAATCAGGACAGGACTGGCTACCTTCAGTTAACAAATCACGATTGATCACGTTCAGATAAGATATCAAGGATTAGATAGGTTCAGACAACATACCACAGTTGATCTCAAACAACAAATTAGGATTGATAACATTCAAACAACAAATTAGAATTGATAAACATTGGTAAAATTCAGATAACAAATCAGGACAGGACAAGTTACGTTCAAGTAACAAGTCAAGACTGCTTACATTCAGACAACAAATCAGGACAGGATTGGCTACTTTTAGTTAACAAATCACGATTGATCACGTCAGATAACAAATTAGGATTAGTTACGTTCAAATAACATATCACAGTTGATTACGTCCAAACAACTAATTAGGATTGGTTATATTTAGATAACAAATCGGGACTGGTTACGTTCAGGTAACAAATTAGAAGTGATTTGCTTCAAATAACAAATCAGGATTGATTACGTCTAGATAACATATCACGATTGATCACGTTCAGGTAACAAATCAGGACAGGACAGGTTGCGTTCAAGTAACAAGTCAGGACCGGTTACATTCAGACAACAAATCAGGACAGGACTGGCTACGTTCAGTTAACAAATCGCGATTGATCACGTTCAGGTAGGATATCACGATTGATTACGTTCAGATAACAAATTAGGATTAGATACGTTCAGGTAACATACCACAGTTGATCACGTTCAAACAACAAATTAGGATTGATAACATTCAAACAACAAATTAGGATTGATAAACACTGATAACATTCGGATAACAAATCAGGACAGGACTGGCTACGTTCAGTTAACAAATCACGATTGATCACGTTCAGATAACAAATTAGGATTAGTTACGTGCAGATAATATACCGCAGTTGATCACGTTCAAACAACAAATTAGGATTGGTTATATTCAGATAACAAATCGGGACTGGTTACGTTCAGGTAACAAATCAGAACCGGTTTCCTTCAAATAACGAATGAGGATTGTTACGTTTAGATAACATATCACGATTGATCACGTTCATATAACAAATCAGGACTGGTTACGTTCAGGTAACAAAGCAGGACGGGACTGGCTACGTTCAGTTAAGAAATCACGATTGATCACGTTCAGATACGATATTACGATTGATCACTTCAGATAACAAATCAGGACTAACCATACACTAATTATATTTATGTTACAGCAGTAACTGCGCTATTGTAGTCAAACAATTAGGCTTTTTGATGTTAAGAAGCAACAAACTTTAATGAGTAATCAAGGCCTATTATCTAAATGTTATTGTTCAGGAAAACGGAAATGATACCATGAATAGTTTCAGCAAAAAATGTATTGTATGAATCATCTTCCGAATCGACAACTTGATCATCAAACATCATACCATTGGGTTGAATGCCATGTTCTAAGCAATATAATTCCCAGCAAGCATTTCCAATTTGTACACCTGCTTGTCCAACATGTACTGATATTACCTCACGCTATAATCAGTACATTATTTGATAATTAACAAGTCATTTAGAAATTGTTCTTTAACAAATCTGTATAAATGTGTGCCTTAGTAAATTTCAATCCAATAATCCGGTAATAATCGTGCAGCATTGGTACTACTGTAAAGCTAATCCAATCTATTGGTTACTGTTCCCAGTTATTAACCGTATTTAGGATTTGATAAATAATCACAGCGATCAGGTTAATCAGTTTTTTTTCCTTTAGCGTTGAAATTAAGCAATCATTTTCGTTCAAGGAAACATATAGTTTTCCTATAGGACACAACATGAAAAATTGAATACTCGTAGTCATGAATGAAACTTTATATTGGAAATATATAATTAACTATAATTGAACCCTTTGAAAAAGTAAGGGAAATAAGAGGGAAAAGAAAATTTATGAGACATTTTATTATCGTTGAAGTTTGTTTAGTCAACTTACTCCAAATCGCTTCATTTGATTTAATTGTAAAATTTGAGTGAAGCAAATATTCGCAAAAGTTGAACTGCAATAATTAGAAATGAGACAATAAACAAAATTAAAGAGCATAAAATATTGCTGAATACAACATTCACATAAAAATAATTATGATATGATAACAAAGGAAATGAAAGTAATAGATAATAATCTTGATTACAGCGATCAGAAATTATGATAATAGCAAATTGATGAGACATTGAAATGATGATAATAAAGGGCTATGTCATAAAGGCATATTATAATGATGATCAACAGTGTATTGTAGTATTCATTGATAGCAATGATTAATAAAGTTTATCTCGTTGATGTCTTGAGAATTAACCTATTGTCGCTGTTTTTTTTTTTCACCTTAAATTTGAATCTCTGAATGACACTGTCGTAATTTTCAATTAGAAATATCTAATGAATTCGAGTAATTCAGTTTTTTCTTCGTTTTTCTTCTCTTTTCCTTCTTATTTTATCTCCTTCTTTCCCATTCAAACTAAACATTTATTATATCCATTTCCGATAAATTGTTTTTAGTATATGTTGATTGAAATAGTATGATTGCAAAATGAAAGCTAATAATGAGGAACCTATTATGAATATTTTACCAAAATATTAGTATAAACAAAAGATAAGAAAAATTTGAAGAAATTCAGAAGTTTGATAAAATTTCAAAAAAAATTTTAGCATATAACCAAGGATTGTTAAGTTTCATTCGTAAAGAAGTGAAACAAATATTATGGAAATATTTATGCTTTAATATGAATGGTATAATTGGCAAAACCCAGGAAAGGGACAATTTTCTTCTTCTTCGTCAATGAACATTTCTGATAATATCCCACCCACTTCCTATACTTTGACTATTCATAAATAACATTAAATTGGATTGCTTGTATTCCTGAAGGACAAACATGAAAAGAAGGACTAAAAACTATATCATCGTTATTTATCATCATTTTCACTAATTATACAAACTTAAATTTTACGATAAACAGAAAATTCGTGAATTCTTATGATAATTTAAATGGTAATATGAGGTTAAGAGGAAGGAGTAATAATTATGATAATAAGAAAATATAAAAATTTTAAATACCGATTCATAGAAAAATAAGCCATCAAACAAGGTATAAAAAAAAAAAATGAAATGTTTCTTTTTCCGGATACGGTTGATCAATATTTAGTAAGAATTGCTTAATAGTAATACATAGTGCTAGATAAAGACTAACAGGTAACAATAGAAATAGTAATTATTTAACCTGAAATTTTTAGGAAGAAAAAAATTATTTTTCAACAGAAAATATACTTCATAAGATATTTTTGTTTGAAATAAAATCTATTGATTTATCTAAGAAATAAATGCATTTGCCTTATGTTATTATTATTACTAAAATTGGCCAATTAGTTATAAAACATAAATGGACAAAGAAAAAAAACTGTTTTAAATAGAATGAAAATATAATATAAACATAACAATTTTTGATAAATTTGTCGACAAACGTATCAAATTTACTATGGAATTTTTAATAATAAAATGTAGTTTATGAGCTAATATTATTTTTTACCATTTTAGCTCTTAAAAGCATATTTATAAAAGGCCATTAAATTTAAAACGTATTCCTTTCATTTTCTTTTCAAAGTACTCATATTCCTTATTTTTTTTTACCCCAAATTTACTTCAGAATAAATAAGCCGTAAAAATATGAATTTATCCCATTTATAATTCACCATACTTTTTACATATCTTTTCACTCCACCAAATATAACACTTCAATTAACTACCTGTGGTTAAATATTGGTATGAAATGCAAGATGCAATTCAATTGTTAATTGCAAAATTGTTTTGATAATAAATATTAATTTTTCCCTTTCAATAATAACATAAATATTGATAATAACATTAATAATGAGATTCATTTTAATTTTTCCCCATTTTTCTATACTTTTTTCTAAAATTGTATTTTAATTTAATTGCAATTCACACACCATTTTTTTACAAATTCTCACATTTGAAATTACAATTAATCAAATTATTGCTTTAGTTTTAAGCAATTGAATTGGATGATCCAACAAAATGCAAAAAAACAAATATTTGCATTACATATATAAAAATAATTTAACTTTTTGTCATTTTTTGCAATTTTCAGCTTCTCCTTTTGTTCAACGATTGGTTAACTTTGAAAATATTCAAAATGATGGAATCATTTAAATAAATGAAATAATTTCTTCATTCGTTCATTTATTGTGTTATTTTCAAAATTTGAACAAATATTATTTCCCAAATACAACTATGATTTGGTTGGTAGAATCTATTAACTTATTAATACTTCGTCCTATCTATTTTCTAATACTAACTAAATATTAATTTATATTCAAATTCTTACATTGACCAACACTAATACTGATTCAATTTTTAATATTAGTTAAAACAAATTTAATTTGAAAATTGTTTGTTCCAAAATTAACCAATTAAAACATTTAGCTTAATGTAAAGGTACGTCTCTTTATTAATGTATGTGTTTATTGTTCCTATATTGCTGTAACAATAAAGATTATATCCTATTATTAACTTATTCAATTCTTATTAAATATACAGAGTATGCGCTGGCGTATGTACATGCGTAGGCGGAGTGTATGTGTGGGCGGGTAGTTGTATATGTAAGTGAATGTGTGGGTGGATGTGAGTGGGTGGAATACTTGTGAGTGTTACTGTAACCATATTAGTAATAATAATAATTTCACATTATCATTAACTTTATTCAATTGTTAATGACACTAATATACGTGCATTTAACGCATACATTGTAAATTATACCTGTAACCCACCCACGTATTTTGATCAAATTAACTTGAGCGTTAAAAGTACTTTTTATAAATGATTTCAGCTTTTACATCTGTTGTATCATTTGGTATTACGTCACATTAAATAATAGGCATCAGAGAGAAATGTATTTTAAAAATTTCATTCTTTTTTCAATTGTAAATTTGCCAACATTACACGGAATATTTGGTTTTCAACGTTAATGATTTATTGAAGTTTAAGAGAAAAGAATATATTACAATGATAGCCAAATTGAAAGCAAACGAAAGCTTCAACTGGTCACTTACTTTTTTTTTTTTGCTAATTTTTCTCTCAATGATTCTTTTCTTATTTCATTTTCATATCATTTTAACAAAAAATTTTTACTCAAAATAATACATTAATCATCATAATTCG